AGAGGCCCCTACAGCCACTATGCTCTTCTCAGCCGCTAGCAGGGACTCCTCAAAGAGGTCGACAGTGAGGGTGGTGGGATAGACAGAGAGAAACTGGTCCCTAACGACACGGAGGGACTTAGGGAGACGGGTGACAAGAAAGTAGAGAGTGATGTACATGGGAGGAGGGTTGGCGGCGCGGAACTCAGCAGGAAGGGCAGCGCGGTAGCGAGCGTCACTAGCGCGGAGGTGGGTAATGAGGTCAGCGACAGTGGGAAAGGCAGCGAGGTCAGGGAAGAGAAAAGGTAGCATGAGGCGGCTCAGCGTAGCGGAGGAAGGGGAGGAGTAGCGTGCAACTACAGCGTCGTACAAGGCCTGAGCGGTCTTGCACTGACTAAAGTGGGCACGCTCGGAGGAAGGGAGGTGGCGACGCACAGCAAGACGTGCAGCAGCATCGCGGGTCGCCCACTTGGAGCGAACGGCGGAATCAGCATCAGGAGGAGGGGCAGGGACAGCGCCAGAGACAACGTCAAAGAGAGAGACCTCATCGACCGCATCACACAGTAAGTACAGCTGCAGGTCCTCAATCCAGACTGCAAAGTCAATGGCTCTACCCTCAGCGTCAAAAGCTAGGACATTGGGGGTGGCCATGACAGCAGCTGACAGTCTCACCGGGCAGGAAGAGTCGGGTAGGTCAGCGGCGCAGGTACACAGCCCAGGAGCAGCAGTAGCCCGACAGGAGCAGGAGAGCAGCTCCTCTGGCGGCTCGGGCAGCCCGGGCGGCTCGGGCGGCTCGGGCGGCTCGGGCGGCGCGGGCGGCTCGGGCGGCTAGGGCGGCTCGGGCGGCTCGGGTGGCTAGGGCGGCGCGGGCGGCCCGGGCGGCTCGGGCGGCTCAGGCGGCTCGGGCGGCGGCACGGGTGGCTGGGGCAGCTCGGTGGCGGCTCACGGGCGGCAGGGACGGCGCGCGGGGAGCTCACGGGCGGCTGGGCGGGCGGCCAGGGCGGCTCACGGGCGGCGGCGGCGGCGTCGGCGGCTCACGGGCGGCGGCGGCGGCGTCGGCGGCTCAAGGGCGGCGGCGGCGGCGTCGGCGGCTCACGGGCGACGGCAGCGGCAGCGGCGTCGGCGGCTCACGGGCGGCGTCGGCGGCGTCGGCGGCTCACGTGTGGCGGCGGCGGCGTCGGCTGCTCACGGGCGGCGTCGGCAGCTCACGGGCGGGCTGAAGGCCCACGGGTGGGCGGTTCGCGGGCAGCGCCGGCTCACGGGCGGGCGGCGTGACGGGCGGGCGGCGGGACGGGCGGCGGCGTCACGGGGGGGGGGGGGGGGGGACGACGGGACGGGCGGCGGCGTCACGGGCGGCGGCGTCACGGGCGGCGGTTCACGGGCGGCTGCGTCACGGGCGGCGCTCACGGGCGGCGCTAAAGGGTGGCGACGGGCGGCGGCTCACGGGCGGCGCTACGGGCGGCGGCTCACGGGGGGCGCTACGGGCGGCCGCACGGGCGGCGCTAACGGGCGGCCGCACGGGCGGCGCTACGGGCTGCGCAAAGGGCGGCGCGAAGGGGCAGCCGCACGGGCGGCGCTAACGGGCGGCGCTAACGGGCAGCGCGAACGGGCGGCTCGAAAGGGCGGGCGCTAGGGCGGGCGCTAGGGCGGGCACTAGGGCGGGCGCCAGGGCAGAAAAAAAAAGTTATAGGTGGTGGGCCCGAAGCACAGTTCCCACAGGGGAACCTGCTCTGATTCCATGTGAAGAAGTGAACGAGAGAATGTGTGAACTATGAACAAAGTGAGTACAAATAGGAAACCCTAGCTGGGTTGTACCCCCTATGGGATACCCCACTATAGCCTACACAACAAAGTAAGCTATAATGTTCTGACACGTTTCCGCCGCAAAATTCGCAAAGTGTTTTGTTTTTTGCAGGACGTGAACAAGCGTCGAATTTGTCGACTTCCATGGGGTCGGCGAACGTGGTTGAAGCCGAGCGATCCCCTTGTCGTGATCCGACGACGTGGGGTCGTCGTGTCCCGGAGTTGACCAAGTCAAAACGCTCCGCGGCCGATACGATTTCGCTGTAGCTGCTGCAATTTGCTGCTGCAACCTGGCGCCGAATGTCGGTTTTCAGCCCCGCGATGTAGGACTGAATTTTTTCGCCCTCGGTAATGTCGGGAATGCGATTATAAAATTCCTCCATCTGCTGCGTGTATTGCGCGACACTCCCGTATTGCCTATGATGATGTAATTTTTCGTGCGCAATATAAGTGGAATTCATTGGCTCAAAACGTTTGAGAAGGTCTGCCCGGAACTGCTGCCACGTGGCTTCGCCCTGGAAAATGCTACTGTTGCTTCCGAGCAACTCGAGAGCTGGACCGCGCATCAACGTTGTCGCGAGACGAATTTTCTCACCGTCGTCCTCCGTTGTCGTCCATCCGATCGCCGCGAAATAAATTTCCATCGTCGCGAGCCACCGCCTGACGTCGGATTTTTGATCGCTAGGGTCGAACGATTCCGGGGAGCGAAGTTTCGGAACCTCGAACTGACGCTGCGACTGCAGCGAAGTCGTCGAAGCAGGAATGTTCATGGTCGAGAGGAGCCGCGTAACGCGCTGCAGTTCGTTTCGCAGCTGCTCGTTCTCCAATCGCGACCGTTCAGTCGTCGCTCGCATCTCCGCTTCCATCTTGGCGATTTGCGCGAAGAGCTGTTGCGTAACGTCGTTGGTCACCGGCGAACCCATCCTGTTCAAAAACCACGCGAGGGGGTTAATTCGAAAAGTGCGGAACTGGTACTTACCAGAAATCGGCGTCGAATTGGTCGCCCCCGGCGGTTTTTCGAGGTGATTTTTTCCGCGACCGCTGCTTAGCTGAGAGTTGTCGAGTGAGAACGGCTCTGATTACCAAGTGTCACAGGATCGAATTCTCAATCGAAACTTGTCACTAAAACTGAATACAAGGCCTATTTATACTCGGAAAGTACAAGGATAAACGAGATAAAACGAACCTTCGGGAACACACCCTTCCCGATACTACAATCACAAGTGCGCATAAGCACGCAAGTCTATTGGCACTTGGGATTACGCCCAGATTACACCGTATACACCACTGTCGGCGCTGTCGGTGCCGTATAATAGGTATGTCGGTGGGAAAAGTAGGAAATAAGAGAAATAAATAGAAGGCTCTAGAGAATAGAATAGTAGGCCGATTGAGATGAGATAAAGACCAAAATAAAGAGGAGAAAAGGGAGAATGGGATAACGGAAAAATATAATAGTGAGAAAATATTATAACGGGGACGTCCTCTCACACCTGGGAAGACCAGAGACAAGGACACGGCGGTGCATGCTACAAAGGCGCTGCACCGAGGGATGACCAAGCCGGTGGTGCCAAAGGAGGGTCTGGTGCGACAAAGCGTGACACAAGTAGGCGGATGCTAGCTGACCTGACGCAGACGCAGACGCAGTGACGTGAGGGGACATAGTAGTCAGTGTGTACAGACTCGAGCCACGTGCATGGGTAAACGTGGCCAGGTGCCAGCCCGTCCGGGAGCACGTACAGTGGGTCACGCGCTGACCTCCAGGAGTGAACTGGTCAACCCACTGGTCCTGGAGGTCAGCACCACTCACCAAGTTCATCGAGAACGAGGAGAGTGAAGACCAGACAGAGAGACAGACGGGACCGCTGGACACGGCAGGACCGTGGAGGAGTGCGCAAGGACTGGACCCCCAGAGGGGTCTGCCAGGGAGACTGCAACCGGCCGACTGAGCGGTGTGAGGATGGTACTGTCGCGAAAGGAGCGAAAGCACCTGAGTCAAGTGTGAAGGTATACAAGGCCTCAGCAGGCGCAGTACCAGAGAGAGCAGACTCACCAGCACCTGGATCAGTAGCCTCACCAACACCTAGAGCAGGAGACGCACTAGCACGTAGAGCAGCAGCCTCACCAGCACCTAGAGCAGCAGGCTCTATACCTGGGTTAGGTGGTACGCACAGGTAACACGCACCGTCAGCACTAGTAGGCAATGCATACATGGCAGTAAGAATAGCATCATAGTCAAGAGCAAAGATATCTAACCTCTGTCCAAGCAGCTCGAGCCAGGTGGGGAGCTCAGCCTCGTCGCCAAACTCGGTACGCCAGGCGACGCTCAGACGTGCGAAGCAGCGGGACTGTGTGTGACTAGGCGTCCCGCAAGCCTGACCAGCCCGATCACCTGTGTGAATGACGTACGGGCAGCAAACGGTACTCAAAGACCCTCTACCCTGAGCGTACCACTCACGAAGCTGCTGGGGCGTTAGTGTCTCGCACGGACGCCGCTGCAGCTGCAGCTGGCCACTGCGAGACGCTCCCGACTGACCAGCTCCAGGGCGACAGCCACGACGGCTACCGCCACAACCCCAACTAGCGTACCACTCACGAAGCTGCTGGGGCGTGAGAGACTCGCGTGGACGTCGCTGGAGTTGCATCTGGCCACCGCTAGTAGCAGCAGTAGCAGTAGTTGTCAGTAGATCTGCACTGTGGATGCCCGATTGATCCTGGAGAGGGTTACAGGCGCGTTCGCCTGGGGGGTTATGGGCGCACTGACCCGCTACTGAAACAAGCCCTTTTATCCCAATGGTCTAGTGGTTTGGATTCTGACATGGTATCAGAGCGGTCTCGGGTTCGATTCCCGGTGTATGCACATGTAGGCCGGTGCCGCTGTGCTTAGTCATGGGCCTCCCAGTTTGGGGGGGTGTCAGTAGATCTGCACTGTGGATGCCCGATTGATCCTGGAGAGGGTTACAGGCGCGTTCGCCTAGGGGGTTATGGGCGCACTGACCCGCTACTGAAACAAGCCCTTTTATCCCAATGGTCTAGTGGTTTGGATTCTGACAGTAGTAGTAGCAGTAGTAGCAGCAGCAGCGCGGGCAGGGCATGCACGGTAGGCTGGCAGGCAGGTAGGCAGGCAGGGAGGCAGAGGGCACGGCAGTGCGCGAACAAGGCAGGTGACCTGTGGCGGGAAGGGAAGGCGCTCGCCGGGCGAGCGGCAGGGTAGGCGCACGATGGCGGCGAGGGCGGGGCCGCAACAGTGGCTGAAGAGTAGGGCCGCATCCGCTGAAGGCCGGGGCCGCGTCAGCGGCAGGTCGGGGTCGCGACAGCGTCTTGGTGGGGCCGCGTTGGCGGCAGGGCGGGGCCGCGACCTGGCGGAGCCGCGTCGGCGGTAGGGCGCAGCCGCGTCAAAGGCAGGGCAGGGCCGCGTCGGCGGCAGGGCGCGGCCGCGTCAGTGGCAGGGCGGGGCCGCGACCTGGCGGGGCCGCATCGGCGGTAGGGCGCGTCCGCGTCAGAGGCAGGGCGGGGCTGCGTTGGCGGCAGGGCGCGGCCGCGTCAGAGGCAGTGCGGGGCCGCATCGGCGGCAGGGCGCAGCTGCATCAGAGGCAGTGGCGCTGCAGCTCCGGATGGGATTACCCTCCTCGACACCTTATGCGTGTGACTGTTGCAATGAGACGTTTATCCCTGACAGGCGGCTGCGCAAAGTACCTCGGCAGACGCCGTTGACGCCAATGTAGCCCTTGTCGCATTTGCAGGTGGCTGCCCTGCTGTCGCTTGTGGGCGCACACAGAGAGTTGGCGGGGCATGTGGCGTACTTGCAAGCCGTGTCTGCACACCCGCGCAGACAAACAAGTTCACATCAGACCCTTTTATAGCGAAAGACAAAAGGTTGGTTCAATGGAAAAAGATGGCATGGGGTGAAAGGCAGCAAGGCAGAAGGGGTGAAAGGCAGCAAGGGGCGTACTAAATGAGCAGCGAACTGACGCGAGTTGGCTGAATGGTGTGATGGACGGCGAGTTGCTGCTGCTCGGGGGAAGAAGAAGAGAGCAAAAGGCAAACACAGCTTTGAGCCATGGTCTCATCATGTCCCATCGTTTCCTGCCTTCTCTGATCCCATCCGATTTCACCCCATTCAACCCCACCCATGCCATCCCCTCCCTCCCACCACCCACCTTCCCTCCTCCTGTCCCCCACCCATGCCCTGCCGTGTCTCGTACGCATCTCCCACGCAGCTCCACTGCGCCCACAGACCTGGAGGAGTACATGAGCTCCATCACACTGCCGTTGCAGCTGCTGCCGGGGAAGAACAGCAACGTGGTGCACGGCGTATTCCAACGAACGCTCACACGCGTGCTCACGCGAGCAGGCGCCGTGCGTGCTGGCACGGTCGCACAGCGCGAGGAGGAGTTGAAGGCGACCTTGTAGGCACCCACTGTCACGGCCGACGCCACCACCACCCTGGCAGGCACCTCCGTGGGCCATGCCACGTTCTTTACGCTTTGGCCGGATGCTCCGCGGATGACGTCACTTGCTGCAGGGGAAAGCGAGAAGAGACGAGAGGGAGGGAGCAGGGCGAGGAGTTAGTTTGGTGTGATCTGCTCCAGTCGGCCCACATCACGCGTTTCCTCCAGTCGGATTCGGTGGCACAGAGCGAACGCGAATGGAGCTCTCAAGCATGTCGAGTGACGCGGAGGACGCTAGGCTGCAAGCACATGGCGGAGAGTGAAGGCGAGGGCCGGTGGGCAGAACGAGGCAAGGACGGACGAAAGCACACTCGCATGCGCACACACAGAATAGACTCGCGGGGCGGCACGGCGGGTGGACTGACCGAGAAGGAGGGCGAGCGCGAGCAGCGCCGGAAAGCCGCCCATCATGGCGAGCGGAGCGGAAAAGCGATCGGCGCAGCAGAGAGGCGCGACAGAGAGGCACAGCGCAGGTGACGGTAGCGATCGCCGTGGATGGCAGTGTTTGCCGACGAGCAGACTCGCCGACGATGGTTGGGCAGAATGAGGCGCGGCGAGATTGTATCGCAGAGAGAGCGATGGCGAGATGACACAAGGTTACACGGCTGCACGGCTGCTGTGGGCTGGCTACTTAAAGTGCGAGCTCGACGCTACAACGCTGCTGCGAGGCGAGGAAGGTTGTGGAACGCGGTAGTGTGGCGGGGGAAGAGGTCGCTGTGAAATGAGTAAGCAGGAATGAAATGACTAAGGAAAGATTGGGTACAAATACAACCCTAGAAACCCTGTACCCCATATGTGCTACCCCACTATAGCCTACAACAACTATGTCATATAAATCTGACACACCCCCATAGGCAAAGTGGGGGAGAACAAGGGGTCACAAGACCAGTCAAGCAAAGCAAAGCAAGCTCAGGGTGGATCACAAAGTCACCACACAGTCCGAGCACAAGAGTAGGGCCAGAGGCCAGTTCACATGCAGGAGTACAGACATATATATAAAACTAGACAAACAAGAGCAGGCATATATATATGTCACAGTACAAGTGAAGTCAAGAGGAGAGCAAGTGAGGCAAGACAGGCACAAGACCCAACTGGGTGCAAAAGCGCTGATGGTCACAAGGCGCGAGTGCCTTGGTGAACACATCAGCAGTGTTGGCCTCAGAGGCCACGTACGCAAGTCGCAACTGACCACGCTGCTGCAGCTCACGAGCAAGGAAGTAGCGGAGAGCAATGTGCTTCGTTCTGTGCTCCAAGCGCTGCTCTCGACACAAGGCCAGCATAGCCTTGTTGTCTACGTACAGCACTGGAGGAGAACGAGGCGGCTCTCCAAGGTCAGTCAGCAGGTAGGTGAGCCAGCGAAGCTCCTGTGCAGCCATGGCCCCGGCGTAGATCTCAGCCTCACAACTGGAGCCGAGAACCGAAGACGAGCGAGTAGACCGCCATGAGACAGAGCCGGAACCAAGGCTGAAGGTGTAACCCTGTGACGACCGCTGCGTAGCCTGGTCGTCAGCCCAAGAAGCGTCCGCGTGGCCGGTAAGGACCACTGGACTCCGCCCTCCAAGCACAAGCCCCATGCCCGACGTACTGCACAGGTAGCGCAATACCCTCTTCGCTGCAGCCATGTGCTCTGGTCTGTGTCTCCCAGGAGCAACATAGCGTGCAAGAATGCTCAGAGGATATGCAAGGTCAGGTCGTGTGCAGGTCATCAGGTACATGAGGCAGCCAACAAGCTCTGCATACGGACCACTCGACTCTACGGACTCATCCGAAGGCAGAGCTGAGAGTGAGTGGCGAGTAGGCAGAGGAGTGGCCTGAGGCGAGGAGTACGTGAAGCCGAAGCGCTGAAGGACCTGCTGCACCATGTGTGACTGAGTCAAGGTAATGGTGCGGCGTGCTCTGTCCCGAGTGATCTGCAAGCCAAGGTAGCTGCGCAGTTCACCCAGGTCTGTGCACGTGTGTCTCTTCAGCAGCTCGGACTTCACGTAGGCGAGTCCAGCAGTGTCTGCTGTGGCAAAGACCAAGTCGTCGACGTACACGAGGATGTAGAACGGCGGCAGGGAAGTGTCGGTGCGAAGAAACAGCGACGGGTCAGCAGTAGAAGGAGCAAACCCAAGAGCCGCAAGCGTAGTCCTCAGTGTGTCGTGCCACTCACGCGGTGCCTGGCGGAGACCGTAGACTGGCCGTCGGAGGCTCCACTGGGTGCCAGGAGGGAAAGTCCCAGTGAAGCCAGGTGGACGGCGAAGCCAGATCTCCTCGTGCAGGCTACCCTGCAAGAACGCAGTGCTGAAGTCGAGAGAGTGAAGCTCGTAGTCGCGCTGAGCGGCTATGTGCAGCAGCACCCGAAGAGTAGTCATCTTCGGGGTGGGAGAGAAGGTCTGAAAGTAGTCAACTCCCTGCCGCTGACTGAAGCCACGAGCAACGTACCGTGCCTTGAAGACAGGTGGAGAGCCCGGCGGCCGCTTCACCCTGAAGATCCACATGCCACTGACGATGTTCGCCCCAGGAGGGGGAACCGCGTCAACGTAGGTGCCTGTGGACTTCCAAGAAGCCATCTCAGCATCCATAGCTGCCTGCCACTGAGAGGAGTAGGGACCCTCTACGGCCTCCGCGTAAGAACGCGGAGTCGGGATGTCTAGTGCATCCGGGTCTCCCTCAGGGGCAAGCAGTACAGACGCGAGATGAGGTGAAGCAGCCGCTAGACACTGTAACTCCTCTTGCCTGTCCTCTAGGACGTCCGTGCTAAGAGCACACTCACCCCCGACGGACGGAGGACAGACAGACGCAGACTCAGCAACAAGACTAGCAGCGTAGTCGAGACGACAGCGAGCAGCAAAGTCGACGAGCTCAGCGACTAGAGCAGACGCAGCAGTGGACTCAAAAGAGGGGTCAGTGACGACAGTAGCAAGCAGACGCGTGACAGTAGGACTGGCAGCACGAAGAGAGTCCGACTCAGGGTCGGCAAGCGCAGGAAGAGAGGACTCAGGAGGAGAAGGCAAAGGGGCACTCAGAGGAGCAGTGGACGGACGCAAAGACATCCGGTGCGTGCCAGGGACAGGAGGAGGACGCTGACGCGAACTGCGACCACTAGCGCGAGCAGCACGAACAGGCGACGCGGGACGAGACGCAGGCTCACGACGCTCAGCAAGACCTCCAGTAGGACCAGTGTAAGGAGAGGGAGCAGGCAGTGGAGAGGAAGGCTCCAGCAGGGACTGCGACTGGACAGGCGGTGGACCCTCTACCGGAGGAGAAAGACCAAGAACCTGCTGCAAGAGCGGAACGAAGTACGGCCGAGGCCGCGCGGCAGCTCCAGACGCAGCAGGGTCTACACCAGCACCCTCAGCGACAGCACCAGCGCCACCCACACCTCCAGTGGCAGGACCAACAGCAGTAGGCTCAGCACCAGCTCCCTCAGCAGCTCCAGCTCCAGGAGGACCCGCAGGTCCAGCAGCTCCGGGACCGGCAGCACCCGCACCCACGACGGTCGAAGAAGCTCCAGCTCCAGCTCCAGCAGCACCTCCAGACTCAGCAGCACGCCTCCAGCGGCGAGCGAACCACTCGCGCAGCTCCTGTGGAGAGAGGGGCTCCCGGCGAGACGCAGCAGCAGGAGAAACCCCAGGCTCAGCAGCTCCAGACGCAGCACCCCCAGGCTCAGCAGCTCCCAGCTCAGCACCTCCAGGCTCAGTAGCTCCCGACCCAGCACCCCCAGACCCCGCACCCCCAAGCACAGCACCCCCCGGCTCAGCACCCCCAGGCTCCGCACCCTCCGCAGTAGCACCCTCAGGCCCAGCACCCCCAGCAGTAGCACCAGAGTCACCAGTAACCTCGACCGGGTCAACGGCGTCTACCTGGGACACATCTGAGGGGGCAGGAACCTGAGGGGGGAGGGGGTCTACCGGGGGGGGAACCGGCACAAGGAAGTCCGGGGGAGGGGGGAGGGAAGGAGTGCGGTAGGGGAAGAGACGGTAGAAGGGGACTGACTCGTCGAACGTGACGTCCTGGGAGGACAGAACACGACGAGAGGAGGGGTGGTAAAACTGCCACCCTGGGGCGTCAGTGGGGAAGCCAAGGAAGACACAGGGAGCAGCACGAGGGGACAGCTTGTCCGCAGACAAGTCGCGGACAAACACCCGAGATCCCCAGACACGGAACACAGACGCATCGCCAACCTTCCCCGTCCACAGCAAGGCTGGGGACATCGCAGGCCGAGAGACCCGGGGGTGAAGGTTGAGCTGATGCCCCGCGTACCTCACTGCAAACGGCCACAGAAAATGGGGGGCAGCCGCATGCATCATGGACGTACGAGCGACATCCATGACCATGCCAATGCGGCGCTCAGCAATCCCATTTTGCTGTGGTGAGTCCGAAAGCGTGAAGGTCTGGCGGATCCCCCGTGCACGACAGTAGTCCCGCAGAAGGCGAGAAGAGAACTCTCCGCCTCTGTCCGAGTGCAGACGCAGAACAGGAAAGTCCGAGCCGAAGCTCTTCCTGAGCTGGAGACGAGCCTCGCGGATCCAGTCAATCAGCACCTCAGTGACCGCACCCTTGCTGCGCAAGGGGAGGACTGTGGTGTAACGCGAGTAGTCGTCAACCACCAACAGGAAGTAGCGCTCGTAACCCTGCCCACGGACGGGGGCTGGGCCCCACACATCCATGTGAAGCGTCTGCAGGGGAGCCTCTGTCGGGGGGAAGTGGGAGGAGTGAGGAGTAGCCCGGAGGCGACCCTCGACACAGGGGACACAGGAAGGTCCTGGCCCGGAGGGGAGAGGAGGGAGAGACTGGGGAAGACCAGAGACAAGGACACGGGAAGCCATGCTCCGAAGACGGGGCAAGGAGGGGTGGCCAAGACGGTGGTGCCACAGGAGAGTCTCGTGAGACAGGAGGCGACAAGAACAGGGGGCAGACTCAGGACCTGACCGGGACGCAGCAGCAAGTACCTGACCCGACGCAGCCACCTGACCAGAC